TAATATCCTCATAAACTCGCAATACCATTTAGGAAAAAAACTACATTTTACTCACTTACTTTTCTTGAAAATTCCGTTTGAAAATGGTCTTGACAGTAAATCCGCCACGAAATAATAAAATAGCTATTACACCAACACAACTATATTTCGGTTTGTTTGCTAGCTTTGCCCTCATTGGATATCTGACTATCCAATCAGCGGGTGTGAATACGGTGGCATTTCCTGGGCCTTCGCGCAGGCCCTGGCATCACCAACGTAAAATCTGATTGGTTGAAGCAACAATGTACTCGACATGTATTTTCTGTGGGGGGGGGCCTGCAGAACGGATGGACCTTACCAGAGGGGCCGCTTTTCATTGGCTGATGCCCATTCTACGTCATAGAGTGGCTACAACGTGCGAAGACGTCTCACAAACACAAGCTAATGTAGTGCTAGACTACTACTGTACTAGGCTACTAGCATACCGCGCATAAAGTTTTTGAATCAAAAATTGAAAAATAATGGTTCTGCATTGCCAGTGGGGTATCTTTACTGGTGATGTCAGATATCCTGATCGTATTTGTGGTCGGAAAATTCACAGATTTCCAAAATCAGGAGCAGAATGCCGGGCTTGGATCAAAGCTTGTGCACGACCACATGAGCAGCTCAACCTTCGTAGGATCAACAAGAACAAGGGAGTGTGTGCTGGTGTAAGTATTATTGCTTTGCTTTAATACTTAAAGCAAAGCAATAATACTTATTGCTTTTTATTTATTTATTTATTAGCATTTTGTCGGCGGGGATGGGCCAACAGCGTCCCATCCTTATCCGACACCAGCAGACGGAGCGCGAGTGCATACAGCTAGGCGCGCACGAAAAAGAGCATCGGAAAGTGCAAGTAGGCAGGATAGCAAAGACAAGAGACCATCGATTAGAGCAGAGAGCTTGTTAGTACACACAATTACATACACATCCATAACACAGTTCTGATTCAAAGTTATTTTATTATTTATCATGTGTCACAATTCACATTTTCCACAAACATGAACATCAAACAGAAACAGAATCACTTTTGTTGTTTCAATTGTTTACAGGGATACCATCTAGTTCACAGTGAATGTTCTGAATTATTTACAGGGATACCTACGATGCTGCAGTAAACAATGATGCAGACAAAGGGATAGAGGTGCAAACAGATGAACATTGTAAGTGAGGATAAGCAGTTCCTACATGTTTTGTAAATAAGGCACAGCATGATCTTGATAGAAAGCAGCTAAAACTTCTAACATGGATGACATAAATACTTTGTCTGGCCACACTCTTTCTACATGTAGATCCTTGTGGGTGAAAACAATAAAATCACAAAAATCACATCCTGTGATCATAAGTTGACCTTGAACCTGAGCATAGTACATGTGTGTCTTCTTCAGCTGAGCAGAGCCACTGGGTTGCATTTCTAGGCAAAAATTGGGTAGCATGCAGGCATCCAGAATGGTGGAATTTCGAGCGGCATACGGACACTTTATTTCTATTAGACCTGATCGGCCACCATCACATACTTTGCCGTCGGGTGAAGCACCTATGAAGGGAAAGTGATTACTGACCACAAAGCCACACTCATGCAAGTGCCGGTCCTGATGAGTCTGTAAATATTTGGATTTTGCTAAGGGCTCGTTTCTTCGCCCGTAATCCAGTGAAGGGGCTGAAACAGAGTTAGCGTCAAAAATTGACTCTAAAAACTTGTGTGTGACCTTTGCTTTCCTGACCAGAACTCGATGGAAATTTGAGGCTGTAAGCCTTTTTTTTCTTGCCTCAAACCACTCAGAACATTTACTCTGTTCTCTGGTTCGAGCTTCAAGTTCCACAGGATCTTCACAAATATTAAGGTCTTTCAACGCTTTATATCTTTCTGGAAGAGCCACTGGTGGGTTATTTGTGACACAGGTGTCGCCACACTGTTGCATGACCGCTGTCGCATCTACCTTCAAGTTCCTTGTCTGAAACAAAAGAGCAGTATCATGACATTATATACATTTCTCTATATATACATATTTAGTCCTTTTTTATTTTCAGGGATTTCGCCGCTGGATATGCTTGCAGTGACTGCAGAGTTGGAAATGGCAAAAACAGAAATCAGTCGCTTGCAAGCAAAAGTGGAACATTTAGAAACAGAGCTACAGAAAGAACAGAACCGAAAACTGTTTGGTATTGATGCTGTTGTTGAATCTGAGAAGAACAGCAAAAAAAATCTGTGTGTATATTATACAGGACTTACATTAGTCCGTTTCATGTCACTATTTACATTTCTCTTGCCAAAGAGGGAGACTTTGACTTATGATGAAAACAGAAATGACATTAGAGAAATGTCAGCAGAAAATGGACTTTTCCTGACTATGTGCAGACTGAGACAAAACTTTGGTCTGTTCGATCTAGCAACACGGTTCGGCATTTCACAACAGTCAGCTGGTATAGTATTTAACACTTGGATTAACATTATTTATCTTAAGCTGTGCACTGTTTCTATCTGGCCACACAGACAAACCATAATAGACAACATGCCAAAAGACTTCAAAGCTAATTTCCCTACAACATTAATTATTATTGATGGAACAGAATTAAAAACAGAATCCCCCTGGGCCCATGGTGTGCAATGCCAACTATATAGCGATTATAAGTCTACCACAAGTCAAGTCAAGTCAAGTCAACTTTATTTATATAGCACATTTAAAATAACCAAGGTTGCCAAAGTGCTGTACATAAAAAGCATATATATGTGATTTTAATGTAAAAAAAAAATAATAAATAAAAAAATAAATAAAAATAATAAATAAATAAATAAATAAGATACATAAAAGGTAGAAAAGGTGCCCTACCTCAACCTAAGGTTACAATGTTAAAAGCCAAGTCAAATAAGTGTGTTTTTAAACAGGACTTAAACTCCTCTATAGTCTGGGCAGCTCTTATGTTCAAAGGCAGGCTGTTCCAGAGCTTTGGGGCGGCCACACTAAAGGCTCGATCGCCTTTTGTCCTCAGCCTCGTTTGCGGGACCACCAGCAGCAGCTGACTGGATGATCTCAGAGTTTTAACAGGATCATAATAGTGCAGCAGGTCAGACAGGTATCTTGGCGCGAGCCCATGTAAGGCTTTAAATGCTATTAGTAGAATTTTAAAAGCAATTCTGAATTGCACCGGGAGCCAGTGGAGTGAGGCCAGAACTGGGGAAATATGGTCACGCTTACGTGTTCCAGTGAGGAGACGGGCAGCTGAATTCTGTATAAGCTGTAGACGATGGAGCAGTGACTGGTCAATACCAACATACAGGGAATTGCAATAATCTAGGCGTGATGTGATGAAAGCATGAGTTACTTGTTCCAGGTCGGTGGGAGATAGATAGCCTTTTATCTTTGCCAGGAGTCTTAACTGGAAGAAGCTGTTTTTTACAACTGAGTTTACCTGTGTGTCAAATTTAAAGGCGCTGTCGAGGGTTACACCGAGGTTTCTGACGGTAGGCCTGATGTTGGGGCTGAGGGAGCTGAATGAACCAACGGGAAGATTTGAGGGGTTAGATCCAAACATGATAATCTCAGTCTTATTTTCATTGAGGTTGAGGAAGTTGTTTTCCATCCAAGATTTGACATCCTCTAGGCAATCCAGCAGTGGCTGTGCAGAATCCCCACAGCAAGAATTTAAAGGCAGATAAATCTGTACATCATCTGCATAGCAGTGAAAAGCGATATTATGTTTTCTGAAAATTGAACCCAATGGGAGTATGTATATTAGAAAGAGGATTGGGCCAAGAATGGACCCTTGGGGTACTCCAGATGTAAGAGGGGCTGTGTCAGAGGTGAATTCCTTTAAGTGAACTGAAAAACTGCGATCCGTCAGGTAGGATTTAAACCAGAGGAGTGCAGAGCCTGTGATTCCAACACTATGTTTTAGTCTGGATAATAAAATCCTGTGATCTACAGTGTCAAAAGCCGCTGTCAGGTCGAGGAGAACCAGGACAGCAAGGTTTCCAGAATCGACAATTGAAAATAGGTCATTTAGGACTCTCAATAATGCTGTTTCAGTGCTGTGAAATGGTTTGAAACCAGATTGAAATTTCTCATGGATGTCATTGGCGAGAAGGAAAGACTGTAGTTGGTTAAAGATTACTTTTTCTAAGACCTTTGACAGAAATGGTAGTTTAGAAATTGGTCTGAAATTGGACAGGACTGAGGGGTCTAGATTTTTCTTTTTAAGAAGGGGCTGGACAACAGCATGTTTCAGGGCAGCTGGAACAAGTCCAGAACTAAGGCTGGAGTTGACAATAGCAAGAACACTGGGCCCCACAGTACTAAATACATCCTTAAAGAGACGGGATGGGATGATGTCAGAGGGACAGTTTGTGGGCCGCAGCTGCTTGACTACATCTGAGAGGATGGAGAGAGATACTGGCTCAAACTGATCAAGGGCAGCAGGCAGAGGAGGGGCAGTGGGGTCAGCGCCCGGGACAGAAGGAGTGGGAAGAGCTGATCTAAGGGCAGAGATTTTATCAATAAAGAATTTGAGGAAGCTATTACATAGAATTTGTGATGGCACTAGAGGAGAGTTTTCGCAGGGATTTACAAGAGAGTTAAAGATATTAAACAAAACTTGAGGCTTATGTTTGTTATTGGAGACAATGTTTGATATGAAATCTTGTTTGGCAGCTTTGACGGCCTTCTGATAGTCAGAGAGACAGTTTTTTAAGACTTCGTAGGAGACATGAAGCTTATCCTTTTTCCACTGCCTTTCTGCACGTCGACATGAACGTCTGAGCGTGCGAGTGGAGTTATTTAACCATGGTTGAGAGGACGTTTTACTGCGCTTTGACTTGAATGGAGCAATAGAGTCCAAAATGGCCTTGCATGTGGTATTAAAAGTAATTAAGAGCTCTTCAGCGTCGGGCACGTGATTATTATATAATATGCCGTTAATAATGGTATCGCTAAACATGACGGAGAAACTCAAGGCACTCATAGGTTGTGACTCTCGGGGGTCTTTCATGTTCACATCAGAATTATTCACAGGATCGATATCAGACAAGGCCATTACAAAAGCAAGTGGTTTTTATGAAACCATACAACAACTGAAGGACGTTGGTTACATTCAGAATGGTGACGGTGTCATGGCAGACAAAGGGTTTACAATCAAGGATGAGATAAATGCCCTTGGTCTGTCCTTAAACATACCACCTTTTGCCTCAGCAGACAAACAGTTGTCTCAGGCAAATCTTGCACTAACTGACAAAATAGCAAGACACAGAGTGCATGTTGAACGACTCATTTCTCGCATTAAAGATTTCCAAATTGTTGGTTGTACAATTCCTGCTATATTGTTTCCTAAGTTAAACAGAATATGGGCTGTGTGTTGCTACTTGACACTTTTCCAGGGCTTTGTTTTGAAGAAAATGTAAGAACAGTAATACTAGTCTTGTTTCAGTACACATTTCATTCATTTTTACCTGATAGGAAACAGCTGACCCAATTTGCACTTCTCCCAGGGGTGTCGAGACAGTTGGTGCTGAAGGCGTCAACATATATGTCAATGGAGTACCATGTAATAATTTCAGTGCAGCTATCTCCTCGGGTTCAGCCTTTGTCACTCTGTAAATACAATGAAAATGAATTTTGAGAGCTGTCAAATTTGCAATGGTAATTAAAATAAAGAACAGTTTTATGTGTTGGTTTTGTTTGCATTCATGCAATTGTAGTTACACTCAGAATTGTAAAACAACACTAGGGTACATATTATTTTGTCATAAATTTTGTTTCAAATCTAAATCAGTAAAAACCTACATACATTTTGTTCAAGTCCACACTGCATTCCTTCGGTCTGCGCTTGCGGTGAGTCACGTGTCGTGCTAGAGTGAGGTGGTTGATGGGCACGGGTTCAATCCTCAAACCCCGAGCTGATTGTGCTCCCCATGCTTGTGGCATACTGGTGCAGCTCAATCGGTCAGGGATTGAGGAAAAACTTTGCAGTTTGAAATACTGCAAGGTCTTGAGGAGGCCTATAATATGTGAACAATGACCCCCAAGTCTGAAAAAAAGAAAATCAATAATAAACGCATCCATCATGAACACCTTTTAGCTAAGTACAACATAACGGCAGTACTGATACAACTTTACACATTCAAGACCGTGAAGCCTGTCTGCTACACAATCTTACGTTAGCTAAACAGATCAATGTCCAATGTGTACTGTATCTGACATACACTAAATATTTTATTTTAGCAGAAAAGGCTTTGGACGAAACTGTTCCTCGTGTTAGCCACTCTAGCACCAAGTACAGCGTATCAGGATAGCCACACAAACATTTGCCAACAAACCACAGGAATTATCCACTGATTTCAAAAGTAACAGACAAAACGATGAATGCACAACTTACCCAGCCTTGCAAGAACAATAGGCATCAGTTATCTTGTCCACATCTATATTAATGCTGAGGGTGTGAGGGTCTGCCGTTTTCCTCATCGACCGAAAGCATTTTGCTGTGACGTGCACAACTTTGGAGGCATCGCGTGGCTCAAATACCTTTAACTCATCCAAAAATGATGACATGAACTTGTTCGTTCCTCTGTCCATTGTTGTAGATGATATGTGTTCAAAATCAGGCAGAAATGACGCACTAATCGAGTCGGGAATACTCCGCAAAGAATCAGTCCACGTGGAAGACGCCATGTTTACATAGAAACTTCCATAGAACTAAAGCGCCACGAGGCTTTGTTTGTGAGACTTCAGATTTTTTACGTCAGTTGTGGGCGGAGCTTGGTAAGGTCCATTGTGAAGGCCTCCTGGCAGACATCTTTGACTTTGACCCTGCCTAGCGACAAAGGATGTCTGAAATGTGATTGGTTAAATGCTTTTATATGAAAATACACGTCTGGAAGCAGCGCAACCAGGGGGAAAGCTTTGAAAGGAAGCTGACAGACTATTTAGAGATATTTAATAAGTTTTCATGGACAAAATATAATTAACATCAGTCTGTGATTCAGATATTTTCTTAGGCCTTCAGAGAAGGCCTTGAAGGCCCTGACGGCCCACCACTGGATTCAGATATTTTCTTAGGCCAGCAGACAAGGCCCTGCAGGCCCTGACG